GTTAACCTTTATATAACTAGTGGCGTCGGGTGGCGTAGCGGTATATCATCCGACTGCGAACCGGGAGACCCGGGTTCGATTCCGAGTCGTACCGGGGCATGTCTGGACATGCGCCCCGACGTTGTGCCCTTGGGAAAGGCACTTTACACGACTTTCCTCACTCCACCCAGGTGTGAATGGATACCTAACTTCGGTTGGGGAAAGCCGTATTGAGGTCACCTTGTGGCGCCGAATAGCAGCCGCACAGACGCTTGCGGCAGTTCCACAAAAATGTGGAACAAATATGTATCATGTGTATTATGTTTATTATTATGTGTATTATTACCATTTGTACCATTTGTAAACCCTGCATCGACTCAGCACTATAAGGCTGCGATTGCATGGGTGATGTTTGGCCAATAAACCATTGGCCAATAAAAAAACTTTTAGAAGTCACAAGTATAAAATTCTCAGCATTTACCAGTAGGAACGTATGGCATATTATGCAATTCTTCAAAATACTGGAATTTGATAATCAATTCAGAAGTTACTATGAAAATAAAGCAATAATAACAGAGAACCCATGTTCCCGTATGGTGTCCAGGGATCTAGAACATGAACTTCTACAATAATTGTAGAATAACTGCATAAACAGACCAATACAATGGGTCTAATCACATAATCCCAACATATCAGTGGACCGCGATTTGGGTCATTTGGCTGAAATACAATTGAAATATAACTAGAGAGGCTGACATTTGCTTTGGAGCAAATATACAGCGATGGCTTCACCACATTTTACGACATGACAGGGAAAGAATGGGAAACAGGGAAATGAATGCTTTACATTGATATAACTATAGTATAAAGTAAAATGCAACTAAGACTAAAACAGTTGGATAGCTATTCCCCTTCATTATTGGTTAGGATTTTCAATTGTATAATGCAAACTGTTGATTTTCAAAATAAAAAGAAGCGTTCATGCCCAGCATTCCAATGCTGGAGCAGGAAAGCTTGAAATACCTACCAAAACACTTGAACACAGATGTACTGCCAGTATGGAATTGCTCTGTGCATTTAACAAGGTAAATCCCAACAGCCAATCAGCAAGAAGAATAGAGGAAAGCTGCATTCCTATTGGTTGATGCCCTGCATTCCATTGTGGTGACTCATGCCCAAACGTGCACACTAACATAGTAATACATTTGCTATAACACAGCCAAAAAACTCAAATAAAACCATTCTAAAAGCCTGTATCACAAAAATTTAAAAAATGCCCGCGGGTATTCGCCCACTGTACGTTCCTACCAAATTTCAGGTCCTTAGGCCCTAAAATGAAGAAACTGAATCCATTTAAAGAAATGGCAGGAGAAGAAGAAGGAGGAGAAGAAACATCAGAAAAAGCAATATGGTTTCACCACTTTGTGGTGAACCCATAACAAGTACTGGTGTACAGTGATTTTATACCTCAGGTGTACAACACTGGCAGAGGATCGCAGAGGGTGGAGCCCTCTTACTGAAAGTTATCTTGCCCCTACGGCATAACTCATCAAAACTCACCAGGTTAACGTAACATAATGTTAACGTAACATAATGTTACGTTACTTTATGTATGTTATGTTATGTTATGTTATGTTACACAACAATGGCAGTCCTACTACATGACAGCGTAAACTGATGACGACACCGGAACATGTCTGTTGATCTAAAGGCTGATGTGGACGCAACCATTAGCAAAAAATAAGGGTGATCATGAACATGAAATGTACAACAATGTACGCAGCATTTTTCCAAAGTTCCAAAATTGAAAAAAAAAATCCAAAATAGAGACTGACCTGGTGAAAAGACTTGACAGATGAACTTCCTGTCGGCGTGGGCACAGTTTCCATCGTTCCATGTGTTGGAAGAGCTTTCGGTCAAGTACTCGGCACAGTCCTCCTCCTCCACACCTCGATAGTTGTCGGGTTGTCCTGGACCCCAAGCTGTGAAGTCGCCCAGAGGAACGTTATCGTCCCACACCCAAACTCCCTCCCGGTGGACATCAGTCAGTCCAAAACGGAAGTAAGCGTTGTTGTCGACGGCATTTTTCAGATCGATGAGAAAGTTGTTGGTTGCGTTGTCGCGGGGCATGGCGAGGGTTCCACCGTCTGAAGAACACCCACTAACTGCACCGTTGTAGGTTGTAGCGTCGTTGAAGGCCTTGTAGCACAGGCGACTAGGCTGATGGTAAACGTACCCGCCTGGACAACCTATTTCAGAACGAATAAGGTTATTATTACCAACATGAAAATGGAGGTATTGTTTCTGGCGAGTCTGTCTGTCTGTCTGTGTGTGTGTGTGTGTGTGTGTGTGTGTGTGTGTGTGTGTGTTTGTGTTTCCGCACATTTGCGGCCAGCATAACTTCATAATGCCTTTATGGATTGTAAAGATATTTGGTATGCTGGTAGGTCTTAGGAAGACGAAGGTCAAGGTCAAATACGGGCCTCCTGGTGGATGACCTTGGTACTTAAGCAGAACTTCCGGTTTTTCAAGTTTCATATGAATGCGCCGTATGGACGTTTCTTTCTTCCGAATTCATGCTCACTAGCTATACTTTAGGGATCGGTTTTTGGACAGATTCCGAGTTAACAAATTACTAGTACTTTTTAAGTACATTTGCTATAACACAAAATGAAAAAAACGCCTGCCCACTGTACTTGTGTACAAAATTTCAGGTCCTTAGGCCCAAAAATGAAGAAGCTGAATCCATTTAAAGAAATGGCAGGAAAAGGAGGGGAAGAATCATTAGCAAAAAAAAATTGAAAAAAACGTAGTCGCTTACTTGCAACCTGTGCAGGACACAGAACTCACAAACATTAATATTTTTGACACAACATGCAACTCTCAAAACAATTTTGCAATTTCGCTCAAGATCACTGTTGAGTTAAGTTTGTTGGGATTGCTGTCAAACCAAGCAAGAAATAGTTTTATCAGTCAATATGTACTGGGGTCTAAACTTACGTCACTACGTCCAGAAACAAGAGCCATCTACCATAAAAATCCGTAGGGTTAGCATGTCTGGATCATGCAATTTTTTCAAACCGGAAGATACGATGCAGTACCATAACATTCCGCGGGGAGGGACAGAATCTAACCATTTTTGGGTCTCGTCAAGAACCACCCACTTATCACATAGCAAGGCAATCCTTTTAGGCCTCTTTAGTTTACCTAGCCACCTAGCTACGTACAAATGTATTCCCGAAAGTACGGAATACATGTCATCTCTGCCATGGTAAACCTTTACAAAACAAAAATCCAAAAACTGCAATGATTGTAATATTAGAGATGACGGTACCAAGTACGGAAATAAAAAAAGACAGGCTTAAAAAATATGACAAGCCCGAAATATCCTTTGACCACATTGGGTAACCTTAATGGATTACACACTCACGCTCATTGATTTTCGACATGTTAAAAAATCACCTCCTCCGAGGCTCATGCCTGGGTTACATACTCCGTAGTCCATGGTAGCTAGTGACATTAAGTGGATGGCATTCAGGCTACGGACGCTCCACGGAACTGAAAAAAACATTACTGTGCCGACTCATGAATATCACAAAAGGCCAGCATGAGCTGGCTTTGTCGTAAATGACACAATGTACTACCACCGCAAAGAGCGGGGTTCCTAAGAAGATGCCATCCACAAAATTAAGACAATGTAGCCTGAAGATTAAAACACCCGAAAGATGAAGGAGAAACGACATACAATTCTCCATAATTAAAAAAAGATATATAAATTTTCGTTTTAGGGCGGTCAATAACCAAGCTCAAAATCAATTGTAAACAACACAACGTAACCTACTGATAAAGTCTGGTCTCTGCTGAACTAGTACCTGTATGACTTGAACTGGAAATTGAATGCTCTTATATTGTCTAAAGCACAATGTTTTAAGCTTGTGAAATTAACATTGTTTAGGAGAAAAATACAGCATAAAGCTTCTAGCTAATTTGAAATCACCCCCTGTCGTCTGCTGCCATTACTCCAAGCACCGGCCGGACAGGTTCAGAATCCCAGTGTTGTGACTTCTAATCCATAAATGATGTATAAATAATGTTTGGAGTTAACTGACTACAAATATTCTGACACAAGAATTTCGTTATATAGGGACAGTGGGTCCTTGTTTATGGTCATCAATGGCAGTAGCGTAAAAAAAATGACAATGCATTGATATATAAGGTAAGATTAAGGACAAGACCTTTGCAAACAATAATTCCTGAGCCGTAATAAAACATCGCTTAATAAAGAAACAAACCCATTATGTCCTGCAGGCTAACCTCATTTCTTTCCCTTTTTTCAAAAATTAAATGTACCGAAGACCCATCTTTACTGCTGCAATTCTCCGCTGGAACTAACTACCCCATACCGCAAAATTATCCCTCCTTTTGTACATTACAAAAACGTATTAGAGTCATGCTTTGCTTGCGTACTCAGACATCCGCATTATCCACACGACCACAGACATTATGCAATACATCTAAGCTGACAGCTGAACTACCACCTGTTCCAGTATTACTGTATCACTAGTCCTATGTGCAGATGTGGGTATCTAATGAGACACTAGAACACTACTTGTACTGTTAAACATTAATAAAATGACCAAAATATTTCCATGACCTGCTTACATCTTAAAAACATACTCCCCTTTGACAGATTCAACTCAAATGAGACCACCCTTTGCACGCTTTGCTCTCATATTCTACAAATTGCCGTATCGTCTATATTGTGTCTCATTTCATCACATTACAAGATTGTGGCAATCTCATGAAGTTATAGGTTCTATTAGAGCGTCAGCCCTTTTTATTTTCTGTCCATTATACATTTGGATTTGTCACGCCATCTGTGCCATCTTAATGTTTTATGAGCAAATAATTCTTATGAGCACATTTCTGTAGGATGCTCTCAACCCTATGTAAATAAAAAAAAGAAAACAATCTTGGCATTAATAAAAATTCTGTTATAATAACATGATGACCATCCTTACCTCTTAAAGTCTGATCTGGATCTTCACGACCTGTCATGTCGTACTTCTGCTCTACATCCGGACCCTTTTCACCACCGACTTCTGTAATTGATAAGAGCATGCAATATGGATATTAATTACCAAGTTATATAAAATTTGTACCTACGAAAAAAATACACATCTTCTAGAATCCCATTATGTCAAAATAATCTATAATAATGGAGATGGAAAAAGAAATAAGGGAAGTAGAACTTGGGGTAAATTTGAAAATATTGCTGACAGCAAGTAGTCATCGTCTCTCATTACATATGATTTATAGTATACGCCCCTTTCTGTGCGTGATAGAACATGCACATACAGTTTATAACAGTGCAGTATGGCGCTAGATCTAGGAAACAACATTTAGAAACGTCAGACAACACATAGTCGTGTTAGGGTAAAATGAAGGAAAACACTCATAAGAGAATATGCCTGAGCCGTAATCGTACATTCTTAGTTAAAAGCATAGTCGTTACCTTTTGAAGTTGGATCCTGATCTTCACGTCCTGTCATGCCGTAGTTCTGTCCTACATCTGGGGCCTGTTCATCTTCTGTAAATTATGCAACATGAAATAGCTAGATATCAAGTTCCGTTATGTTTGTAAAATAAAATCTAATGTGATGAAAATAAAGCATAGTTGAGGAAAAATAAAAGTTAGTCATTTACCGCCTTTTAGATATTTGTGATGTTGGGTCCTAATAAGATGGTCTGTAAGGGAAAATGATATACGATAGCTGTTACCTTTTAAAGTAGAATCTTTTTCTCCAATTTTCGCCACGTCGTAGTTCTGCTCTACATCCGTGCTTCCTTCTTCCTCCACCCCTACGTGTGGTAGAACATGCAAATATGCTTTAATGTTTGTTTAGGTACCGATCATTTTTAAAAGTTTTACGTAACGTTTATTCCCTTAGAAAAGGTAGACAACACATGCAGATGTGCCTTTAGGTTAGATAAAGTAAAACTCTTTTTAAGGATGATGATCCATGACCATTAAGGTGTTCACAGATATTTTGTAATAAAGTCGGGATGACCATCGTTACCTTCTGAAGTCGAATCTTGATTTTGAAATCCTGTCATGTCGTAGTTCTGTCCAAAATCTGGGGCCTGTTCACTACCATCTTCTGTAGGAATAAAGTGTGTATAAATTGCCACGTTACGTAATATGATGGTATACGATTAAACGTATCACGTCAAGTTCAATCTAATATGATGATCTTGGATAAGAAAAACAACGCATGGTTAACATCAGTGACATCCGATGTCATTTAACGCCATTAGATATTTCAAATGTAATGATTAAAAATGATAGGTGCTAAAAATATTGTATATTAGTGAAAATGATAGGTGTTACCTGTTGAAGTTGAATATTCTTCTCCGGTTTCTGACTGGTCGTAGTTCTGCTCAGTAACTTCGCCTCCTTCTGCCTCCCCCTCTGCGTGTGGTAGAACATGAAGGTATGCTTTAATTATTGTGCAAAATGGTGTTTGTTCTTGGAAAC